TAAAGTTCATATTTACTGAGATATCGCACTTTGACGCACTAATGAGCAACCCTGTATACCATAGAACAAGGCTTATATATACTGAAAAATTATTTTATTCCCATGAATCTAAAACGAAAAGTATACGGCACTTGCGTCACACGGTGTGCACCTACGGAATGGAGACCATGTGCTCACCCAAAAGTCAAAAAAATTGAAGACAACCCAAAGGGCGATGGAACAATGTATGCTTGGAATATCACTAAAAGACAAAATTATAAACTACAATATAAGACGTAAAACTAAAGTCAGGGACGTCGTGGAGGAGGTAGCAAAAGTGAAATGGCGATGGGCTGGCCATATACTCCGATACGATGAAAAGCGATGGATACACAGAATACTGGAATGGAAGCCATGAGACAACAAGGATCAAGAAGACCCCAAAAAATATGGGTGGACGACGTAAGAATAGTGGTGGGCCAACAGTGGATGAGATTTGCGATGGATAGAGAAAGATGGAAACCATTAGAAGAAACCTACATCCAGGAATTGATGGGCAATGGTTTACAAAGAAGAAGGAGAAATAACTGCTTAATAAGGACATGAAGACTTGAACAGAAAGAAGTGCATTAACTTTCACTTTCATTGAGCCCAGTCTGACTACGATTGGGTGGTAAATTAGGAAATTTCTCTCTGAATGATTGAATATATTCATTTTGTGTTTGTTCCCCACCTACGTAGCCCATCAGGACTAGAATTTCAATATTGTGAGTTTCGGTTAACTTCGGTCAATTTGGTCAAGGAATTAATATTCTCGCTTAATCACGATGCTCCTCTACTTACTTGCTATTTAACTTCTTTATCAACATCAACCCAGTTTGAGAAAAATGATACCCAGATACCATTTCATTCAAATTACTAATTATTGAGTTGAATTGAATTAAAGCTAATTTTTTCCAATTAGTTGATGTTTGCTAAAAAATATCGTTACATATTTACTAAGCATGTGCATCTTGATTATTACTTATTAGGCCAGGAGAATTATAATATGCAGAGCAGGAGGGATTAGGCAGGAGTATGCATTTTAGGGAAAAAATATATGAGTACTTTATTTCTTCCCCAAGTTGTTCCGATATCCGAGGATAGGAAATGTTCGCTTTAAAATGCTCGAAAGTGCAAAAAAGTACGTAAAAGCAAGGTAATTTTAAATTATTTATTTAACAATGAAAAATAACCCAATCAGGCCATACATTTGGAGGAAAGTATTTGATTGCAATACAAAACGAGAGCCGCACGACCCATTAAAATCGGACGGACAGTTTTTGAGTAATGCATTTGTTAAATAACCTACCTGGATGAAAAGAGCTTTTTTAATTCTATGCCTGGCTCAAAGTTATGAACATTTTTTTACGCCCTCGCTTTCACACCTTTTTGGATCCTCAAACTATAATCAATTGCTATATTAACCATTTTTCAATTTTTAGTATCTTTTTGAGCGGTTTTAAAAAGCTTGAAAATTTTGGCTTTTAAATAAATAAGCCTGTAAAGCGGGATTTGCGAGTGGAAAAATATCGAAAAGTATAGAAAAATGGTACTTCGATTTATTCTTTCATAAAAAAAGCGCAATTTTAATACTAACGTGCCCGACCGTATTTTCAAACGTACAAATTTACGCATTATTTATTTTTATGAATTTGTCCGATACTCGGGCTATATAATGTAAAATATAAGAAATGCAGGTCTGCCAATATAGAATTCGATGATCTCACAAAATATTAGCACTTAAAAAAATATAATTGACAACTTGTTAAAAATTATGCGAAATATTGAACTTCGAAGAACGGCAAATCGAGTAATTTACACCATCTATTCTTCAGATATTTTAATTTGCAAATGTGTTGGACTTGTTGTAAAAAGCCAAATCCTCTTTATAAACAAAAACACTTCAACCGTATGAAGCATTTAAATTAAACATAGTAATTTTCTACTTGTTCTTTTAATATGAAGAGATTCGTGAATGCGTTCAGCTGAAGTTCCTTTATTATTACACGGTTGAAAACGCAAATTTTGATATTTGAATGATCTAGACAATAATATAATATATAATATACAACRATGTATATACTGTATTTTTAATTAGGCCTGCAAAAAATGTGTCGTAGATATATCAAACATTGACTTATGATTGATTGATTTTACTTGCAAAAAACSGKTTTTWGCCKGTTTGGCAAAACTTTTTTTKGCTTAAATTATATTGATTGATAGAATGGTGTCACGTTGTATTCAAATTCTCACGATTAATTCGTATTCCCCACAATTACTGTTGCACGCATCTCCATTACTCTACAACCACCACTTAGCCAATCAATTTAAAAAATGTTTACCTTCTGTACGTTACCTATATAAAGTCAGCCTACGAATCAGAGCAATAGATTATATTGTGATTAGAAACGGGATTACACTTGATTGTATTTGTAAAATTATAATAAAATAAAATGGTTGTTTCAATGGAGAGATGGATTGGTAAAGTTGCCATTGTTACTGGTGCTAGTTCAGGGATTGGTGCAGCTATTGCAAGAAAACTTGCCGAAAATGGGATGATAGTAAGTTTTTTTATTATTATTAAAAATTTAAAGTGAAAGTAACGAAATTTTACCCATTAATTTTTACCATGTCTAAAAGCCCTTCTGAAATTTATATTTATATAAATCTGAATGTGTGCAGTGTTCTTGTTCAACCCAATTTACAGAAATATATACCTATAAATAGTAAATAAATACGAAAAAAAAATGTTTAGTATTTGAACATAAAATCTTGGTCATGTGCATCATATTAACTAAATGATAAACTAACCAATTAAGGTATGTAATATGTATCAAAATGATATAATATTTATCTTATACAGGGTTTTATATAAGAACGTAGAGTAATATGGAAAAAAAAGTTACTATGAGTCGCTAGACTTGAAACACTCCAATTTCAATAAACAGTGTGTGGAAATTGGAAAAAAACGGTTTTTCAAACAATTGATTAAGTAACTTCCAATACACCTTTTTGTCTTTTGTCTCAGTTTCCTAATGAAAAATAAAGACGACTTTGTTGCATGTTCCTGGCATAACATAATGAATAATTAGATAGTTACGATATCCCATTCAGTAATCAAAAATTACATTAGTGGCATTGAACTATGCGTATTTCTCACAGAGAAAAATAGCTCTATGAAACAAATAAACATAAAACGATTGCATAACTTCATTATTAAACTTTATTTGGTCGATCTATTGAAAAACAATCATTTTCAGACGTACTCATCTAAACTGATGATGATCACCCCCTGATGTTTTGCAACGTACTTAAATCACATTTTGTCTATTATTAACACCAATGAAGTGTCATTCTATTCCATAAAATTATATTTTCGTAAGAAACGTTGAATGTCATCGGCAACATAAATAAAAAAATCGATTATTATTTATTAAATATGTACTTAAAGATCAGATAACTTGAATTGAAAAAAACATAAAACTTGAATTAATCTTTATTGGTATAACACCATCGATCAATTTGGTTGGATTTTTAAATGTGCCTTTCAAAACAATTTTATAAAATACCAACAAAATATATTCTCATTTAAAAGGTTTGCAATTTATTCACATTTATTGGTCTTCTCGGGTTGATTATCCAACTTTATTGGAACTTCGAAATCGAAACTTAACATATTGAAATATTCAGCAAACTATTATTTTTTCATTATTATTTTGCACCTAAGTAGGTTTATGGCATCACCTGACGTAGTTTTGCAATCAAAACTCTGCTATACTCTGCCAAAGTTGTTCGCTGTTAGTAACAATTGAAATAAAAGTAGTAAAACAACTGATGTTCTTTCGCTATCGATCAAAATGTTTTTCTCAATCCAATCAAGGTGTGTTGTAAGTAATGCGTAAGTAGGTAATTTTCTGTGAAAAAAAAATTGAAACATTTTCAAACCACTAAACTAAAATTGTGAAGCCTCAAACGTAAATGTGAACTTCAACATAAATCCAAGCATAATTTCACAGTCTGAGTATTTTAGTGCAAGAAAAAAAAATACATGATTAGATGCATTTAATATACGGGGTTGCATAGTGTAATACATCAGAAGGACACGCTTATGCGAATAATAATTTTCGCATTTAGACAAACAATTTTTTAAATAAGAAAATGAAAAATAGGATTCAAAGGCAAAACCAACTATAAAACTTACATTTCATTAAAATAAAAATTTGTTTTTTGTCTTTTTATTTTTGATCTATTCGGAACATTTCTTCGCCGGTCAAATTGAAAATCGGTACAGACTACATACTGTAAGCTTAGTGATCTATAACTTTCTGATAAAAAATTATTTGTCCACTTTACCACTAGATGACACTTTTACCTGAAATTCAAATTAAATTTTTCGCATTATCTTTTTTGGCACGCCAGATATGGCAAAAAGCAATGTGCGATTTTAAAGATTAGAAATTAGTAGACAGAAAATATGCTCTTCACACGACTCCAAAAACCTCTTTTTGACACCCTGACTTTTCTGACTAAAAAAAATTTTACAATTTATATTAATTATTGTAGCGCTGTTCAGTTTATACAAAATTTTTGTGTTCCACTTGGGACATTTTAAAACCAGACGACTTGATTTGCTGCGATTGTAATTAAATCCAAGGATACTGGATTGAGAGTAATAAATACTTTACTGTCGATTTGCTCCTAAACGAAAAAGTTTCTCGACTCGTGTGAAGAGCACATTTTTGTCATGTATTTTGCAATTTTTAGAATCAAATGTTGGTGTGTCAAACATAATGTGTTATACATAACTAAGGTGAAACTCTGAACCGATTTCAAAGTCAAAGTCAAAAAAAAAGAAAAAAAAAGTTTGATGAGCTGTAACTCGGAAAATATTCAGATTTCTCATTTTTGTTACATGACTTACTACCATTATTTCAGCATGTAGAAGCACCCTTAAAAAATTCCTAACGCATTATTCGAACATCCTGTATACAGCATGTTAAATATGATATGAACGGATGTTTCGTTGTTTACAGACGAGAGTTTCTTTTTAACTGAAAAATAATGTAAATGTTCTACAATTAAATACGCAAGAGAAAAGCCTCATGGTTTCTCATACTGGAGTTGGAATTTTATTTATCTATTATCATGAAGGTCAGAGATTCGGTTTATATATTTTTAGATCAAAAAAATTGTTACACTCTGACAAAATCAATTAGTTCAAAAATATTCTTTTAATTAAACTTATAAAAAATTTAAACAAAATTTGGAAAACATTTTATCGGTGTTATTTTAAGTGTGCACACTAATCTTTCACGGAAAATATTATCTGATAAAGCGCTATTTCAATTTAAGGTAGTTGGACTAGCGAGGCGGAAAGAACAAATAGATGAAGTTTCAAAAAGTCTCAAGAAATGTAAAGGACAGCTGCATGGAATAAGATGCGACATGTCTAAAGAAGAGGAAATATTAAAAGCTTTCCAATTGGCTACGGAAAAACTGGGTCCTGTTCATGTACTCGTGAACAATGCTGGTATTGTGCAGGATTCCACGTTATCCGACGGTGATGCTCAACAATGGAGAAACGTTTTAGGTGCCAAATAATTAAATAATATAATAATTTTTAAGATGTTTGATTAAACTCCAAATTTTAGATGTCAATGTACTTGGACTTTGCATCGCAACGCGAGAAGCAGTTAGGATAATGAAGAAATGCGACATAAAAGGTCATATTGTCCATATAAACAGCATTCTAGGACATTTTATTCCGCCAGAATTTTCGATTCTAAATATGTACATAGGAGCAAAGCATGGAATTACAGGTTTGGCAGAAGTTTTGAGACTTGAGTTAGCGTCGGAAAATGTTGCAATTAAAATTACAGTGAGTATCCACTTTTGTAATCTGATCAGGGGTAGTTATTATTATTATTATTATTATTATTTTTAATAGGCCAAAAAGCATTTTGTCGCATTATCAGCTGCTTAACAAAATAAACTGGATAAATTTAGATTAATGGGAGCAAGTTGAGTTCTCTTTAGTTAGTCTTAGAGTTATCTAGTCCAGTCCGTCAGTCAAAAATAATTACTTCAGATAAAGTTACTACAAGATGGAAAAGGCAACGATCAAAAATTTTCCAAAGTCCAGCAAACTCCCAGTTGCACACAATAGATAGAGCTCAAGTGTCGAAACTGTTTTTGAGTGTTTCACATTCCTCTTGGTTTAAGGGGTGATCTAAAAAAATTCAACTTTTTGGCATTGCCATGATAACACATTTCTACTTTTATGCCGATTTTAAACATGTAGAGCTCATGACGCATAAAGAGGGAAGAAATCCGAACTACCGCGGAAACTTTGACTACTGGCACATTTCCAATTAAAGTAAAATTTACTTTCATAGAACCCTGTATACTGAATGTCTGTCTTAAGTCGGCTATGAAGTTCTAACTTCAAAATGAGCTTCAGTTTTTGAAAATCGATAGGAAAGAAGATGTTTCCACTGCAAATGCAAAAAATAGGGTTTTTGAGGTCACCCTGTAAACAAAACAGATCGGCGAAACATTTTAAAATCGTTACTAGAAATCTTTTATGCCTTTGATATAGAAATTTAAAAAAATCGTTTTATGCTCAACTGGGAGCTTGTCAAAATTTGATAAATTTTTCATTGTTTCATTTTCCATCTTGTGAAGTCGCCTACTTAATTTTCTGACCGAAGACTGACCGAAGCAAAATTGCACTAGACACCGGTTCAGAGAAAAATCAAATCGCTCGCAGCAATCACTTGCATCGTTTATTTTATTGAGCAGTTTATTACAAATACATATTACCCGCGCAATCTGCTGGATCTAATGACTCTACAAAATCCTGGTATTTGTCTGAATATTTCTAAAATTTAACTTAAAGAAAAATAAACTTTAGAAAATCACACAAACCTAGGCAGTATGACCATCGGTATTAAAAAAATTAACTACTATCAACTTACTGTAACTGCTCTGACCATACTTTAACAGCCCTTCTGTCTTCTCTGAAAAATAAAGAAAACTAGTATGAGAAAATGTCTATATTCCTAACATCTATTCCAAAATTTCCTGAGGTGTAAAAAACTTTTTTACTTTTTTTATGCGCTTAACATAAAAATATTGCCAATATTTATATTTTAGTATTTTTCTAGACAACACACCAAGAAAAGTGAGCTGGAAAAATGTGTTTTACTAACAGCTTCATCCAAAAGAGTTATTGACTTAAAAACGTCTTTCAAGTGCTTTGTTTTTGGGCAGTAAAAAAATTTATCAACCGTAATTGAAAACCAGCACCGCTATGTTCTAGTACCTACCTCAATCTATACATAGAATTCAAAACTAAAAATTAATATATCAAAAGTTTTTCTATAAAAATAATTGAAAAGAGCTTTACTTTTTTTAATAAAGCTTTGTATCGCACATTTTATGAGCAATTTGGACAAAAACATACAAATATTGAAATGCAGCTTTAATTATGTTTAATGCAAATTGAGTACAGAACATATGTATATACACGATGAGTCAGTTTATAATAGCAGCACTTTAACGGTTGACAGAAAATATCATATAATCAAATCAAATATCAAAATACTGAAAGCTATCGTTTAAGTTTCTACTTTGTTGTGATTAATTTGCAATTAAAACGTTTTTTGAAAAAATCTCGAAATCAGTTACTGTTAGCGACTTCAAGCCTTCGTAAATATGAACAAATTAATTAAAATTAATTAAAAATAAAATAGTACCATGTGGAACCCTCTGAAAATTTGGACATAATTGGTTGTGGTATTGCGAAAACTACTAGAATAAAGATTTGCGTGAATTATTTAAAAAAAATAAAAATAAAATGTTGACTTTCTGCCACCCTGTACTTCAAAAACGAAGCCGTTTTCAATATGTCTGTATGATATAATCATCTTAAAATTGTATTTTCTATCAACCGTTAAAGTCCTGCTACTATAAGCTGACCCCTATGTATGTTACGTTCGAAAATTAATGAAGAAAATTAAGAAGAAGAATTTAATAGAAAATGTTACGTTTTCTCATACAAACTTGGCCCGTAACTCGGTTAGTTCAAACGTCTCACTTCACCGTTTCCACAACCTCTCATGAAGAAAATTTAGAACCTTTTGCCACCGCGGAACAATAAATGATTGTTAAACAAATCAAGTTAATCATTATTGTTAAATATACACCTTACGTGTCAAAAGCGGTTGAGTTGCAGATCCTTATTTTCATCACCAAAATGTTCTATTATGGATTGTGATTATGCAAATATAAAATAATTATTGCCTAGTGTATTTTGTATATTTGAACTGATGTAATAGACATTACTGCAATATTAAAAATAACTATTAACGACAACATTAAAACAACAACAGTTAAAATGTATTGACAACAGTTTTTATAGTTTTTCTAAAACTATGTAAATACTGCACAAATTGAAGCGCACGGAACCTCCATTTCCATAACCCTCCCACCCATTAGCATAACGCTACACATCCATAAGGTTGTTTTATTTTATATTATATTTTTTCATGTTTCTCTTTAATTTACAACGTTTTGATTGGCTCCAACATTTACCTAATAATGCTACTAACGAAGAAAAGCATATTCTTTTAAACTATCTGCTAATTCTGTTTAAGAATTTGTCTCCTGGAATGGTAAAATCCAACATTGTACATGCCGGAGGTTTCGATAACTCATTCTTGGGCAAAGCTTTCGAACAGGATAAAATTTTAGATGTGGAGGATATAGCCGATGCTGTAATTTTTGCAATTTCCACTCCTCCTCATGTTCAGGTAATAGCAAAATAATATAACAATAATTAAAGAGAACTATTATGTTTAATTATTCAAATATAGCTGTTAATTTTATTTATATTAGCATTTAATGGAAGGTTGACTTTTAGATACAACAGCTGACTATACGGCCACTATCAGACAAATTTTAAGAAAGTCTACAAACACCGTTTTCATTCAGAATGAGACCAAACAGGGCAATTGGGCAACTTAAAAAAATCGATTACAAGCTCCGTTGGATTCCATAATATCTGTAGTACAGCTATAGTTACTTATGAAAATAGCTATTTCTGTGTGAAAATGTTTATGCAATAAGCTTTTTGTTGAACATCGCAAACATGCAAATCAACCATAAGAAATGCAATATGTTTTTAATTAAATTTTCAGTTTGCCAAGATATGTATAATATACATGCGAAAGGACAAGGAAAGTTGATACTTTTGTAACCTTGTCATAATTGTATTATGCCACGTTTTATACCCGTTAGTACATCGGATAACAAGCGAGAATAAAATACTAACTAAATTCAATAACATTTAGAATTAGTAAAATGTAATACTATATTAGCAATGTTTGAAAGGTCAGAAAAGCTCCTTTCCGATTATTTAAATGGGTATAGAAAAGCAGAATTTCGCGTCTTTAGCAGAAAAACCATTTGCTAAGAGCATTTATTTATGAGAAATGAAACTTTAGCATTTAATATATTTTCAATCCTATATGTATTTATGATCTATTTTTTGTTTCGTACGCAAGCTTGTTAATATTTCTTTGACTTTCTTGTTCTTTAGACAATAAGCCTGTTGTTTTCTATTTCAATGTTTTTCATGCCACTGCAAATTGCAATTCATTTCATGCAGTTGGCAATGCAAATTTTTATATTTTGATTTACTCATTAAGTAAATATAATTTCGATTTTGCTCAAAATAATAAACGTGTTTTTCTCTTTTGTTATCAATTTTTTGCTTGCCAATTTCCGGAGGTAACGAAAGAAAGGTAAGTTTCTCTTAATTCAAGAAGTGTTTCTAAATCGCGAGAATATTAAAATGTAATTATTCGTTAACCAATCTGTCGAAGGAAACTCAACGTAAATCTGATCTGATGATCTTGATCATCTGCCTCAAATCGATTAGTTTCAAATTTTATATGCAGGCATACTTTGTATCAATAATTTTAAGAAACGATGAAAACATTCTTCATAAAAAGTTCTGCTTTCGTGAGAACTTTTTATAGTAGAAGTAGACACATTGCAAATACAAAGTGACAAATTTGCTATTAAATTATAATCTATTATTATTTGAAAAATATTTTTAACAATGATTTTGTTGAAATACCAGTGCAAGTTAAATAAAGAACGGTTGTTTAATTTCCGTTTAGTGTTGTCTTTTCATCTCAATTGAATTCTATATTAATCTATTTCCTTGAAAAGATGCTAATCTTTTCTGTCATAATTTTCTTTAATTTGATCATAATTTTGGGCTAGAAAGAAAAAAGAAACAAAAAATTTGCAAATTTTCGTCCAATAAATGACAATTATTATTCAAATAAACTTCTTACTATTCGAACAACGTTATTAAGACTGGAGTGTAAAAAATAAATTAAAAATGACTTAATTAAAATACAATAAACAAATATCTACAAATACAATTTGAATAATTGACAAGCTGAAACAAACCCTATACAGGGTGTTTAGTAACTCGATACCGAGGTCCATTGCGGTTTAGTTCTAATGTACCGTGTTTCCGAATAATTTAGTCGTCTATCTACAGTCTTAATATTTTAAATAATTTAACAAAATGTTTAAAATTTTCCAAACCCGCATAGAATATTCGGTTAAAGCTAGCTATAAAATATATGCTTAGCCATTTAGCAATGTGTGTGGATTATTTTGCAGCATTGGCGTGAACACAGGCACTGGTTAATAATACAGCCACACAACCAAATTTTTTTTATGTGGGGTTGAGACACATCCTGTAGTATTTTGACCTGCTGAATCGGTTATACCGGAAGTTGCTTCAAACTTCCTTATTTTAAATGGAAAACCCTGTATAACGTTTTTGCTTGTGTTCCTTTCTTTATTTCCGATAACTTCTATGAAATTTTTTCTACCTATTCTATCCGTTGCTCAGCAAAATATAGTTTTTCTTAAAATTTTATCATTACCTGGATGTCGCATAAAATGAAGTATCTTTTCAAAGAAGAAGAAGTGAAACTTAAAATCTCAGTTGCAAAATTAGGTATTATTGTCCTCGATAATGAATTATTCTAAAAATAAATCTAGATAGATAAATAGATAGCTCTAGATATACTAAAGTGGGCAAATTATAATTTTTATTCTCTGTCAAAAACTTCAATTATTTTGAATACGATGATACGTTGCTGATTCATTCAATGCATAGTATTTGCAAAAGTTTGTGGAATTTATATAAAATGAAATGAACTTTGACACAACCTGCCAAATTTTTCACTTCTTGAATGTGTTCAAAAGTGACACTTTCTGTCGGTTTTTTCTAGTGCCTTTCCTTTTTTATTCAAAGAGTGCTTCAGTCAGTTTCAATTTTCTACAGTTTAGAAATTTCTTCAATTTTTCGTTATTTTTTCGAATACCATACCTGTCAAAATCACATTTTCTTAACTTTTTTTGTTTGTTTTTCTCAAAATGCATTCTGAAACTTTTTGAAGGATTTTTGATGAAAAGTTGATTTCAGTTTCATGGCATTTTGATTTAGTACGAATTTTTCGCGTATTTCTCTTAATACTGGCCTCAGGTTGAAGTTTGGAATTCAGCAAAATCAACATAATATCAATGTTGCCATCGTTAACCAGATTCCAGGGCGTTTGAGGGCGAAAAGCCGAATATTTGAAAAACATATTTTTTGTTGTGGATCATTAAGACGGGGTTGCAAAGAGCACAAAAACTGCTGTAAAGCTGCATGCTGTTTTAAGCAATTCAAATCGGTTAAAAACCGAGCAAAAAAATATCCTTTTTAACCCTTTAGGCAAACTTGAAATGGATTTAAGTGGCAAACAAGCATTTTCAGACACAAAAACCGCACTTTCTTTGAACAAAATAAAACTGCGTTGATGTTAACCCTAAAAATTACGGTTGAGAAAACTAAACTCAGTTAGAAAACTGAAAACTTATGAAGGTTTGAAGGCCGGATATCTCATTTTTAAGCCAAAATTTTGAATTTTCACACTTGATGTAAACGCCAGATGAATTTAAATGTCGAAATATATTTAGAATTCTTATACTTTAGGCAAACTTTAGATGCATTTAAACGCTAATAATACATTTTTGGAGTAGAGAATCGAAATATTTTATTGAAAATTGTATGCAAGTCGTGAACTTAAATTTTTGGGAAAAAATCATCGGCTCGTTTACTTAAAATTTCACATCTCCCAGACTAAGAAAGCAGGCAGGTAGTTGCATATTTTAGCATATTTGGTAGACACTTGACCCTATAGACGTGGAAAGTTTCAGAAAAATCCATCCGGAACCCGATTTTCGGCGGCTTTGTAAATGTGACTCTCAAAATTGATTTTTCAAGTCAATTGCGCTCGCTTACTTAAAAATTAGCGTCTCGCAAACTCAAGCACGCAAGAAGTTGAGTCTGTTACCAACTTTAGTGGACATTTGATCTGATAGATGTGAAAAGTTTCAGAAAAATCCATTCTCAACCTGATTTTTGTCGGCTTTGTAAATGTGACTGACTGTGATGTTGTAAGTCAATTGCACTCGCTTGCTTAAAAGTTCGCGTCTCCCAGACTAAAGCACGCAGGCATTGAGGCATTTGGGTGTTTGATTTAAAATAAGTAGGTTTGAGACAACTTCTGATATAACCGGAAGTCGCATAATTCGCTATTATTTTATCTGAAAAGAGCGCCTCCGAACATCCCACTATCCAAATCAATAAAACCACTAATGCAATTTTAAGAGAAAGGAAGAGAAAAAGATTTCCTGAATTTTTGTGCACAACTGAAGCTATGGAGTTAGAGTAAAACACTTATTAGCATCATCATTAAGTCACCTTAGAGTGTTTATATTTAATTATGAAGTACTTATATTTTTTCTTTCCTGGGTTTCAGTCAAAATGTGAAATAAAAAATCAATTTCAATTCAATTCAATCAAAAAAATCGTTTATTTAATGTTACATTTCGGCGAAACAACAGCGCCATCATCAAATTTAAAATTTTTACATCACACAAACTCAAATTGGGAAACATTAGATTATTTTTAGGCTTGGCTGTCTTGAAACCTCACATTTTTTTTGAAAAAAAATTTAAAAAAAAACAGCCAATCCTAAAAAGAATTTAATGTTTTCCAATTATGGGTTTGTGTGATGTTAAAACTTCAAATCTGATGATGGCACTGTTGTCTCGCCGAAACGCAATAAGCGCAAATAAACGATATGAATATTTTTTATTTCACATTTTGACTGAAACCCAGGAAAGAAAAAATATAATAACAATAACACGCAGTCAGGAAAATAAATCAAAATTGTGAAGTACAATAATTTATGTATGAAGTCGTTTAACTTCTCCCTAGTCTTGAATGAGTACATACATAGATACAAAACTATTTCTGTAAAAAAATTTTGCAAATAATTCATGATCCTTTTTTTTTGCCAAAAAGTGTGTGTGTTTTATTTATATTTAAAAAAGTGCTAGAGAACCGAAGAATTATATTCCAATCCTAGGAAAGCGTCGTCCAAAGTCTACCTGGGCTAAAATGTGAATTAACAGTATTTTGACCAAAGGTGTTCTTTTTTATAATCAAGCCCATATTTAACATGCTACGTATGTAAATAAGATATGGGTAATTTCATACCTGTTAAAAAGCCCATAGAATAATAAATCAGACACTACTTTAATATTCTAATATTCGGTCAATATGTTTAGTATAATCCCTAAACATCAGAGGCGCAGACCAATAGGTATCCTTAAAATGTGACAAAATAGCACAGGAAGCAGGTTTGAACGGTTGAAAATAACTTGTAAACTGTTCAAATTCAATTTGCATCTTGGAACGCCATACAAATAAATCTGGGATTCTGCGTCAAAAGATAAACATAACTATGTTTCTAAAACGTTTTCACACATATTTCATTGATTCCAAAGACGAATCCCTAGTAGGCAAATTAACGGTACTACCACTACCATGGACTACCACTGACCTATGGGCATGTGGGAAATTTTGAGCACAGTTTAATTACCTACTTCAAGATGCGGGTTTTTTAAATTAATTAGCACTTTTAAGAATGGCAACCGGTATATTCGACATGTCATTTAAAATAAAAAAATATGCATATATATATTAACATCACGTGCTTATATAGAAACAATAAACTCACTTAGAACAACCCACCTATAAAAACTCGCGTATGTTTGATTTCACAACAGTAAAAAAGATCGATCAATAACTTTGCGATCGAAGTCAAAAAAGCATCAATGATGATGTTCAAGAACATTCAGGTAACTCTTAATTAAATTTAAAATTTCAGTAACTCATGGGTCAAACTCAGAAGCTAATGTTTTATTCTCTTTTTTAAATCTTGTATACCCCTTTAGTAAGACTGTTAAATTTTATTAATTTTTTATTTAAATTTTATTAATGTGTTGCCAAATAGTTGCAGGGCTGCATGCTGCTGATTTGCATAGCCATGTGCATATGTGCCATTAATGCACGTCCCCAATTTGGAGGCGGATTTGGACCGGGAGGTGGCTTTGGAGGTCATTTTTTTTACAATAACTCTAAACCAATGCATTAAATATCATTATTTTAAGCAAAACTTTACACTCTATAACCAATTTTTCGTATTATATCTGTTCATTAGGAGGATTTGGCGGTCCAGGCGGCGGATTTGGAGGACAAGGGTTTGGTGGAGGTTTCGGAGGACCAGGAGGTGGTTTTGGAGGACAAGGATTTGGTGGAGGTTTCGGAGGACCAGGAGGTGGTTTTGGAGGACAAGGGTTTGGTGGAGGTTTCGGAGGACCAGGAGGTGGTTTTGGAGGACAAGGCTTTGGTGGAGGCTTCGGAGGACCTGGTGGTGGCTTTGGTGGGTTCGGAGGTCCGGGAGGATTTGGACGATAACAAATTTAAGTATTCTAAGTTTCAAATGTTTCAACAACTGTGTAATAAATGTAATATGTTGTAAAGATGACTAAGCATAATGTAAGCCAATATTGAAGGAAGAAGATACTCGTATATCAGCGCAGCAGGCCCTAAAATATATTGCATTTTACCAATTTCTGATCTGAATCTTCATTGTTGAACAAAGTTTCTAAACTCATGGAGAGCCCGAACAGAATATTTCAAATTTTGAAATTGATGAATTTATAAGGAAAGTACATGTATGTCATGCAGAACCTAATTGAAGGAATTTATGAAATTATGATTTGCTAGAAACACGTCACATTTTGCTTTGCAAGAGTTCTGTATGCTCATTCTTCAGAGCGATATTGGAAAATCGTAAAATTTGATTAATAAAATTGAAGACCAATTTTATCGTCAAAGTTTTTCCAGTTAAACTAAGTTAAATAAATTACAAATTTTAGCCCACATAGCCTTTGGATGAGGTTTCCCTAGCATTGGAATATCATTCTTCGGTTGTCTTTAACACGTTTTACTGTTATACATCTTTTCTCAATTTGTACCAATTTCACTTTTTTGATATAAATAAAACCCAGCATATTTTTTTACATTTTTGTGTGTAGTTTGACTAGATGCGGCGCAGATCGGAAATTAAATAACATGTGGAATTCAGGTAAACAATTTTTTTTGGGCTGGAAAACAAGTTTCAGTTACCTGCACAATATGTTTCAGAAATCGTTATGTAACTGCAAATGTCCGCTCTCAGAAACGTTTCGTTGAAATGTTACTGAAGCGTTCCGCTAGACGTTATTTAAACGTTGCAAATAAATATTTTGCAACATTATACATGGTGTATCTTTGAAGAGTGCAAATATTTTAATTGGTGCTACATGATGGAACTATAGGATTGCCCTGCTTCGAGGACAAACATATACCACCAGTTAAAATATTTGTACTCATCAAAGAATCACTATGTAGTTTCATGATTCTATACCTAACGTTTTCATAAAAATATTTACAAAACATTTTTGGCTAACTTGTTTCAAAATGTTTTAAATTTACAATTCACAGGCTCGAAAAGTTGATGAATAGAACTCAAATGGCATATGTATATATACAATAAAATTTTTGTGCGGGTAGTACTGGTATACAGGGTGTTTGGTAAGTAGATGCATTCCTCGTAGGAGGTGATAGTGTACATAATTCTGGATATATTTCTTTAATAGATCATATTCGAAAAACTCTTGTCTCTCGATTTACAGCGTGTTAAATTATTAATTAAAAAAATTATATTTTTTAATTTTGCGGAAACCCCTTGGAATATTTTATTGAAATTCTACAGACTTCGGCACTTAACAGCAATACACGTTTTGTGATAAAAATTTTGTTTTTAGCTTCGCCAGTGGCGTGGGCACAGGCGCGTCAAGGCCATGTAGAAAAATCGAATTTTCAAGTATAGAAATTACTTAGGACAAAGAAAAGGTATTCTAATCCTGAATAAAAGACACTGACAATATACGGGATATGCCATTTACAAACATGAGATGCATGGCTTTGCAAATATGCTAATTTGGGTGATGATTATGATCACACTGTAGTACCAAATCCTAATATTTTGCATACAATGTGTTAATATAGTATGAATATTTTGTCCTGCAGAAATTCAAAATTTTGTGGGTAAATTTCTCGGACAAATTGTCGATTTGCCATTGGCATCAAATGCTAATTTTCGTCGTTAAAACCGAATAACAACAAAATTTATCCAATTTTCGCTCATATTTTAGGTAACGAAAAGTAATTGCAATTTACATATACTTAAATTTAAAAATAAATTAAATATAGGATGTTGTATTAGATAAATAGCTGGTCTATGCTACAAATTTTATGGCGCACCATACACAATTGTCAATATTTTTTAAATATGCTCAGTTACTAGTTTTATCACCTGTCGGTTTCCATAAATTACTTTACTCTATCGTTGGGACACCTTATACATACCTTAGATTTTGCTCACAGTTTATAAATAATCTGAGGAAATTTGACGAAACATTATGGTCAATTTAATATGATTATCACATATTTGCAACATTTAAGAATAATTTCCATTTTCAGCTATAAAATTTTCAATTGTACGTACTCACATATTACGCCTCTATATGGGATGGTTTTCCAGTATTTCTGTTACAGTTTTTAATTTCCATATAAGTTTTTATTAATATACACTAAATCACCACAAAAATTTCACATCTTTTCGATATGAAAAACTCGCGAAAATGCAGTGAGTGAAACTTTTTACTGAAAATTACACGTACCGAACTGTTTGTGACAAAACCGGTTATTCACACTTTGGGCCCAGAGTTGTTTTTTTCTTGAAGTTGTTTATACCAAAAATAATTCGAGCATCGCCAATGTTTATCTAAAGATTTTTTTACTTTCAAGTACATGTAGCAGACAAAGAAATATGTGGAATAATTAACTGGAAAATGGGCAATATTTTACTTTCATGCACGATCACATTCATTGCCTGTCCAACCTACAGGGTGGCAAAATGTCGATCATTATAACAGAAAGGGAATTAAAATGATATCGATGGTCCAGTTCCTTATAGCAACAAGTCCAAATTTGGCCATTTTTAGTTTAATACGGCAATATGTCCAAAATTAAGTAGTTAATCTTTTGCATACAGCAACAACTCGAAATGTTTGGACTTGTCAGCTTTAAATGAGAAATTTCCTTTTTGGGTTAAGCCAAATTTATAATTATTCTATTTTAACAAAGCAACAATTGGACATGTTGCTCTTTGATTTAAATGTATTGGATAGTTATGTCAGTTCCATAGGCCAATATTTTGAGTTATTGCCTTATGGTACTGAACAAATCGCAAAATATCTTATGCTAATCGCAGCAAATTTTGATATTAATTGATTGCCATTATTTTTTGAGAGAATCGTGGGTTTGGTGTTGTACAGGCACAATATCAGAATTTATCTCAACAAATACACCTCCTTCAGATACTTACAGTAATCATTCTATTGACATCGACTAACTACTCTTTTGAGAGCGATTCTTTAGAATCCAGTGCAGAATTTACAACTACTTGCTACAGTTTTTTTACTGAATAAGCGTGAGATGAAATTCATAAAAGCTTTTGGAGCATTGGAGACATTAATCGCCAGAGAGACTATTTTTTGCAATGTATGCAAGAAGTCAATCCTAAATATAGAATGCATACACCCAATAGTCACAGGTCTAAAAACTATGCTTACCACTTTGAATTAAACAGTAAAAAAATATGGTATTCAAGACATTTTACCTGAGAGCATTGCCAACATTGAGACAACAGCTACAGCAGGTAATAGTGATTCCGATTAGAAGTGTGTAGTTTAGGTAAGATAGCTTGCAG